CTTTTCAAACATAAACCAAGGGTTAGAACTGCTTCAAAATGGATTATAATTGGGCACAATAAAACATTTGGTATTTCCATTATCAAAAATTAACTTGCCTTCCAGTTTCATCATTAACTCCACAAGGGTATAATTTGTAAATCAAATGGATTTGACTGTCAGAGCTAGTTACAGAATGAGAGGTTATGCAGGTCTCACCAAAACGACCAGAAGCATGGCAGATATGAGAGGCGTCATACAGTATTGAAAGATGTAGTGTTGTTTATATTAAAAAAACAAAACAAAACAAAACCCCACTACACATCAGTTTATAAAAACAAGTGCCATTTCCTGTACACATACAAGAAACCTAATCTCCTGTGCATTGCAAGCTTAATCCAAGACTTAATGGGATGTCTATATTTATGTGACAAACCTGGGATATTAGTTAAGTCAGAATGTTTCCCTATACAGAAGTGATTCCAGCGCTCTCAAATATATAAGCAACATGTTACCCCTAAGCAAAATATGGTGAAATAAATATCGCATAATTTAAACTAGGACATTGGAGCGCCACACACACACTACCATCACTACTTCTGTGCTTTCAGTGTAACTGGACTGGATGTTGGTCACCTTTTAATATAAACGGTGACTGACATCCATTGGAAAACATCTCTCGCCAGGTGGAAAACAGTTGATAGCCTGCAGGTTTTACAGTTTTGGTTTTTTTTTTTTAAGATCAAGGAAAACCACTGTTCAAATAGAGATGTGGCAAAACTGTAGCATATTAAATCAACAAAATCCCCAAAATGGATAGCTGGCTTGGGACAGAGTGTGGAAACCTGAACAGAGTCTTGACCGGACCCTTCAATATTCAAGGGTTCATGCCAGGTTCAGGCAGAAATTTCGATGCTACACACTCAGGCATGGGTTGGGTTCAAATAGAAATGTGTGGCCCAGTCCATGCTCCAGCTTGAGATGGATTGTCCTACACCTATTTATTACTGTCAGGCAGATATAGTTATGTGTACATACTTGAGACAAATGGCAAAGCATAGTCATTACGACTTGAAAAAGCTCGTTCCTCACCAGACTTCTGGATTATGCTTGCAATGATCACCACTCGTTCACTTATAGAAATGACCATTTCACATGCCAAATTGATCCAGCTCCCCTGGCCTTTTTTTTTGTCCCATCTCATCCATTCAACTGTATTGATAAGACTAAAACTATCTCCTACTTTCTCAGTTTATTCCTACTGTCATTATTGGCAGCAATAACTGTGCTTACAATGCTGGAGATGAAACCTGGGAGCACGGTGAGAGGCCATCAGAATGCAACTTCACATTTCCTATGTTTAGCCACACCCTGTATCATTCTGTCCATCTGAGCTTAATCCATATATACACCAGTCATACACACTCTTACACTCATAATATACATACAAAACTTGTTACCATCAAAGTGCAAATGACAATTTTAAAACATATTCTTCCTTTGCCTTTAGAAGACATGAGAAAGAAAGACATTCTTCATATAGTTAAATCTACAAGTATAGCAGCCTAAAAGGATAAAAGAAGCTGAATAAGGTGCTTTAGCTTGTGCCTTCCTGGTGCTGGGGATCAGGGGTGGGGTGCTGATCGCAGACATGTTCGGCTTTCTCAAATTGTGATTGTACAACTTGATAAAACCCAACTACAGTTGTCACTGATCTGTGTTTATAAATGATTTTTAGCTACAGCACAATTTGTAGGAAGGTGAACAGGGTGTCAGGATCAGAAAGTGGGTAGGTGATCAGGCAGACAGGTTGTTGGCCAACTCAATGAGTGCCAGCGCACCGTGGAGACGCTCTCGTTGCTCCTGAAGGCGGCGCTTGGCGGCTCCTCCCTGGCTGCCCTTCTCCTCCTCAGCGATTTCCTCCTCTTCGTCAGACTGGAGAAACTCCATGGGATCCTGCTGCTCTTGGTCTTCTGCTCTTGCCTTTCCCTGTGGCTTAACCTTGGCAGTTGTAGGGGCACGCTGCTCACGGGTTTGCCAGTACCTGCAAGGGCAGAGAAAAGTATATTAACATAAAATGTAAGTAGAAGATGACATGAAATGCCCAGTTTTTTTAAGCAGGCATTATAAATCAATGACACAGTTCACGTGTTGAGAGCAATAGTATGTGCAGTCCTGCGTATTTGCTTACTTTGCCAGCCACTCTGCCACAGCCTTGTTATCCACAGACTGGGCCTTCCCCAGGCCCTCCTTTGGTTCCTCTCTCTTCAGACGAGAGAAAGGATGCTTGGGGCAGTGACGGTTTGCATGTGTGAACCGATTCCCACATCCTGTAGTGTAAGCAAGACAAATCAATAAATGCAGGAATCCTTTAAAGGCCATGCTTTCTCAGTTATTAAAATAACTCAGATGTGTAATACATGACCTTTTGTGATGTACTGCAAGTATGAAACAGACAAATCAACAAGGTAAGAACTGAGCAGTACTTTTAACCAGTCAAGTAATAATAGTGGATATTGTTGGTATTAGTCAGACAATTCTAGCATTGGTTTTCACCTAGTAGGGTTTTATTACAAAAAAGTTACAGTCTGTTTTGTAGGTACTTTCCAGATGTTTCAATAACTCGGCCAGTTGCTCAAACTGAGCCACAATTCATGCCACTGGAAAGTACCTCAAAGACCACTAAGGTTTGCCCTTTTGTTTGGCAAAACAATATCACACTCATCAGCTTTTCAAACCCACCTTTCTCTGAGCAAACAAAAGGTTTTTCCCCAGTGTGTAGCCGCTGGTGCGTCTTCAGCTGACCACTCTGGACAAATGCCTTCCCGCAATTTGGGTAGTCACACAGATAGGGCCTCTCTCCTGTGGGTAAAAGAGTGTCATTTAGGAGCAGTACTGTCATGTTTATATGCATAGCTTTCAAAATGACATAGTTGTGCATTAATGGCATAGTCATCCCTGTTCAATGTGCTGCATTCACATCTGTTTAGACAACAGCTTACATGATCTCAGGTCACTCACCCGTGTGTGTCCTCTTATGAGCCTGGAGAGACTTCTCTCTGGGAAACACTCGGTTGCAGATGTTGCAACGGATACGGCTGGATGAGGTCTCCCCCTCGCTTATCAACTCCCGAACAGTGTCAGCTCGTGGACGGCCTCTTCGGATGCCATCCTGACAATGGGAATCCAGACTTTTACATAAATAGCTTAAGAGGAACTCGTTCCCAGAACAGCAACAGTAAGCAGAACCAGAGCATCATTGAGCAGATTGAAAACATGTTGTATTCAGACTTTTATGACTGAATAAGTTAAAAAATGGGTCAAGTTCAGAGATCTTTTATTTTATTTTATTTGAACTATATTTGTTAGTAGAAAGAAATGCTCAATACACAGCAGTGTTGACTAGTGATTTGCACATAATTAGATATAATGTAACATCATATTAATCAATTTCCTTCATTGAGCTCACGTGTTACACTGTAGCACATTTGCCCATTATCATTCATTCACATCCGGTTACACTTTTGGCGCGCTACTACACGTCAAGCATGAGCAGCTGCTCCGGATTCAGGAAGCAAGCGAGGTTTAAAATCCACCATGTCACACCCTAATGCGCGGGTGGTTTTTTAAAATGCCACCTCGGCCATATTAAGACTGAAACCAAACATAATTTCAACGCTGTAAGTGGTCCCATTGTACGAAATCAACATTTGTCTCAGTACATCTGTGATGACTGGGTTTGTGTTTTAAAGGATATTAATCATGCATGCGCTCTCCTGCCAGACCTAATAGATAAGTTATCAGTAACAAATATTACAAGTGTAGGCCTAGTGCAGTGTTATCAGTAACCTCAAACTATGGGAATGGTAGGCTAAAAATAGCCTTTCAATGGGGCTACTGCTCGAGCTGTACAAAATGACCACCAGCTACTGGTCACACCAGCTTGTAAGCACAATCACAACTGCTACAGTAAAGCTTTCTACCTTGATCTGGTCAGGGGAGGGAGCCGTGTCCGCTTCTCTGGCTGTCTGGGTCCCGGTAGGGGACGAAGCCTCGCTCACCGAGCCCGGGCTCAGAGTCACATTGTGGGCGTTCTCTCCCCATTTCCACGGGTAGACCATGAAGTCGCTGAACCCGGGGCTTGTTGGCGTCAGGGCCTCCGCTTTCCTGACTTTGATCGGAGTGGTCTTAATGACCGACACCAAAACTCTTTTAGGCGAGTCGTTATAAAAAATAACTTGCGGCTGTTTGTTGTCGGCCATTGTATGGTTTACGGAATTCCGATGCTAAACCAAAAGAACTGAAAACGTTCCAACTCTATTGCTTATTTTTAACAAGCAACACACAAAAGTCGTAAAAAAGTGCGCCTGTTCAATCTGGAGTGAATATCTCCTTCATTTCCAGAGAGGAATTAGGAAGAAAGCCGGATCCGTTCTTCACTACAAAGTAGCCTCAAAACATCACAATCTGATATAAAGATAAGGATAAGTTTCCCTCTAGTTGTAGCAGTTCTTCCGAACTGATATGTGTGCGCCTACAGAAGCGTTGTCCCGCGTTGCAAAATCGCGCCTGAGCAGCTGAATAACGAATCGACTGCATGGATGCGACCCCACATGTCAGAAGTAACCAATAGCAATGCCCACATAGCTCCACCCAGGTAGCCTCCTGACCAATGGGCACGAAAACATTTTCTGCACACTGATTGGTCGAGGCGTTTTCGTCCAATGAAATTTAAACACTTGACGCGCGCTCTTGCACGCATTGGTCGATGAAGAGGAGCTGAGCAGGCGTTGGGCCACCGCGAAGCCAATGAGAGTGAAGGGCGGTTAATTTTACCCTGTGGAGGAGCAGATGGTTGATTCCCGCGCTGAGAAGTCTGTTTATGTTATTACGTTTTCTGGCCAATTTAAAGGTAGAGAAACAGCAGAGGCGCCATAGTTACGTAACCATTACTGGAACAAATGTGCAATGTAAGAGGACAAGAATCTAAGGATTATCATCTCCGTTATGTTTTAATTTCTATTTTTAATGTTTTTTGCTGTGTGTATGTTAAAACAGTGTCATCCCACCTAAAGCTGTCAATATTTTAAAAAAGGTTTAGCATAATAGATAAACTATGTTCTATTTATGAATATACAGGTATTGGAAATCATAATTGACAAGATAAAACTTGAATTTATGATCGTATTTATCAGGCCTGCAACTAATAGTTACATTCATCATCACATACTGTAATTTACATGTTATTTGCTCAATTAATGGATTTCTCTATGAAAACATTCTATTAAAGATTTTCACATTCTGCTTTGTCTGACCAGTAGTCCAAAACCCACCCTGTAATGTAAAAAAAACATGATCAAATAGGACTACTGGTATTTTTGCCCAAAAGACTTAACACAACCGTTTCATTGAAGTACAGTAGTAAGAATCCGGGAATGAAGCCTAGAGGCGTTCTTTACTTTTATGCTGAGAAAGACTGAAAGCATGTACAGCGACATCTGGTGGCGTGTAAAACTTAAAACGGCCCTTGCAGAATGGGGTTGAAGCATTACAACACCTTGGTGACTATAACAATTTTAATCCTATATGGCTTTGTGTAGCCTAATAAAAGTCCAAGAAGCCTGCGTTTTATCATTAAATCTATAATAGTCTTGTTCAGAAGTGCTTCATTAAAAGTACATGTTGGTGTCACAGTAACAAAGAATAAATGGTAGGTAGGTACTTTATTGATCCCTCAATGGGGACATTTCAGTGTTTCAGCAGCAATGGAGAACAAACAACATAACACCATGAGAAACAAACACCACACACATATCTTGATAAACAAATTTCAGTACCTCAAGTAGCAATAGAGAACCGACAGCATAACACCATGATCAAGCCCCGCACACACATCCTGATAAATAAATTCCAAGTGCTCTAAAATAGACAGAATCAAGTATTTGAATAATCAAGAACAGAATTTACATATGTGCATATTAACCATGCATTTTACCCCATGATTTGAATATTGCACTTCAGTTGACTATTACATAGTCCCTCATACTTTCACCTATCTTATCCCTGCAGCGATGTATTGTACAGTCTGATTGCTGTGGGGAGGAACGACCT